AGGGAACATATAGATACACATGCTGGCCGGCGCGGAATTTCCACGGGCGGGCGAGTTTCTGTAGATTAATTATTAGCGGGTGGAAATGATAACTTGGAGGTTTTGGGTGGGAGCTTACGAGAGTGACGCGGATGGCCTCGCCAGGTAGAATCTCAACAGTGGCAGTGGTCATACGCTTTCCGATGTTGCGGTATATAATTCTGAAGAGACGAACACTGCGGTCAAATACCCAGAGGGCGATGGCAATTTTAACGTATACGAGCCATCTGTACTTCTTGTAGTCGAGATGCACCCACAATCCACCCAAAGCCACGGCAGCTGCAACAATATGCAAGAACAAGAAGGTCTCGTAAAATGCATGGCGAAGTGACGAGGGCGAGTGGCACATTAGAAAGACGAATGCACAAGTTCCGACGAATCCCATCTGGATAAACACACTCCCTTGAATTGCCGCACCGACTGGCGCCCAACCACCCTTCATAACCTTAGCGGCAGCCCAGCACGCCGAATGTGTGAATGCCTCTGTTACCACGATCCTACCCAGCCATCTGTGTACCAAGTTGTATGTGTCGAATGAGATGCCCATCAACTGAATTAACGGGTTGTTCCTCCCAGCCAACAAAAAAAGCGGTACCAAGTTGACGGTCGATAGCACACCTGTCCTGTTCCTGATTTCACCAAGTATGGCAGTCGTCTCGCCGTCCCAGTCGATCTTATGCAGCGAAAAGATAATGTTGCCGACCACATATCCAATCAAGAAGAACGACTCGAACCTAGTTGGGAGAGTACCAATGTCGAGAGCCCGTGAAATCTGTAGCTCTCTGTTGTGTCTGTTTTTCCAGAAGGGAGCGTAGAGAATGTTGATTTTGAGCCAGGAGACCCACTCGTGCTTGTGACTGGAGAAGTAGGTTTGGTTTTCGAGGCCCAGTGAGGCCATGAGACGAACCTGGCAGTATATGACAGATACGAAACGGTAGATTAATGGAATTCCAGCGAAAGCACCCAGAGCTACGAGCATCCATTTTCCGAATTCGATATTTCTATTAACGTTTATGTAGTTAGAAAACGTCTATATGTGGGGGTCTTATAGCTGGGGGGAGAACGTACACAAGCTCCCCGCTATCTTCGCCAGCCGGAGGAACTCCTGCTGAAGATGCCATGGCAACTGATGCAAACAGTAGTCCGGAAGCCGCAAGAGCCCCAGAAGATCGAAGAATAAAGTTAATCATGTTTGCCAGCAAAGTAGTAATGAATCGACCAAGTTAGATGAGCGGACCAGCTGCAAAAACAGGATAAGGACAAGAGAATATAGATAATAAAAAAGAGTGAATGTTAATGCGCCCCGCGCCGACTTGAACTGCTAGTTAAGTAAGCCGTAAAGATTTGATTCTCCACAAGTGAAAGTGAGCGAGAGCAAGTGGTGAGAAGAAAAGAAGGGACGAGAGAGGGAAAGTCACGGTAATAAGTCAGACTCTTGAGCGGGGGGGGGGGGGGGGACCAAAACCAAAGCAGCGAGTGCCGAGAGTGAGTGTAGTAAGATGTAGATTAATTGGGTGGCCAGTAGTACATGTGCATAGTGTGCATAGTGGACGTCAAGAAGCTTGCTACGGCAAACATACATGTATACCTGGGACCGGGGGGAGCAAGCAACCTTTGCAAATGGTTTGCAGGGATTCACTACCGTCCCGGGGTGCGGTGAAGCAAACCAACCAAGTACCGGTCAGTAAGAAACTGCAGTTATTAGGCGCAGCCCTGACCATTATACTTACCAGTTGTCATAAAAAAAAAGGCGTGGGTATTACTTTACTGGTTCATTACTCTCTCATTGATGAGGCCATAAATAAACTCCCACTAGGGTATGTAAGTATATGTAGTTTCATTCGCAAGAGAGGACCTTAAGCTTTACATTCACTTTGATATTCTGAATCTGCACTCTGGGGGTAAAGGTGCACAACAACATATGTGCCTGCAGTTGTTAGACAGCGGCCATGCATCCCCATTGGGCGGATAGTAGTGGTTGATGGTGGGCATGCAATTAACAATGTAAGAGGAAGCGAAATATTACATGTAGATACCTACATACATGTAGAGTACATACATGTACACACCTACGACGTACGCAATCTACCACCTATCCTTCCGCAAAAGGAATCGAAGAAGAAGGCCCTGCGAATGGCCGTCGTTTCCCAGCATTTCCAAACACTAGCGAGACGCCTGGCTGCCCACAACCCTGCTTTGCCTGCTCGGCGGTGTGGCTTGCCTGCTTGCTAATCATTAACCTCTTTGGATACATATAGGCAGTAGGCAACCAATCTAATTAATTAGACGAGTTGTCATTACATTACCAGTCCGTTTGGATGAAACTTGGTTACTGCTGCAGCCAGTAGAGTGGTGTTAAAGATCTAAGCAGCTCCACCCCCCAATTAATTCGAAACCAAGCGGAAAAATCCAAACACCACACAACCTCCATGTAAGGTACCGAGATAACCGAACCGAACCAGTCAAGTCACTTGGCGCCCGCAGTTTCGGAATTCTAGACAGACACCAGCACTCTTGAGGATGTGGATTTTGCGCATTCTATGTCGTCAGCGCGTCAGAGCCACCACCTTATTGGCGGCCTTGTTTATTTTCCGAAACACTTGCAACCTGATGAAGTGGGTGTATGGCAGTAAGCGATTTGCTTCTTGCTACCTACTGTTCTCTTCGGTCAAAGCCTTCCGCCATCCTTCCATCGTGCTACCGGTAGCTATGTTGACCGGTTTGTGCCTGAGCACGATCTTCCTGCACTTATTTTGAACTACCGAAATAGCACCCACAATTTTTGCTATCTATAAGAAGGACTGAAGATCTTCTTTGTGGATTAAAAAAAAAAAAAGGGTTTCCAGCCCACCGTATCACCAAAGATCAGTAGAGAGAGTCGATCAATGATCAAAGCAGTACTAGGCGAAGGAGGGTGGGGGAAGGATATGATACAAGACCCACAGCGTTTCGTTCGGCAGCTTCCGGGCGTCGCAGCAACTCTTAAACCTGCCGGAAAAGATACAACTTTCGTTTGTTCCTTTGGCAGTGATAAACGGCCGCCATGTTCTACCTGACGGACACCGCCCCGAGGCACGATCAGATAGATCTACCAATGTCTCACTCCTAATCCTCCTACTTACTCCTCCCCTCGTCAGTGATCCTTTCCCCTTCGTCCTTCCCCTTGGACCGCGCGGCTGTCAAGAGTCCCTGCCAGGCGCATCAATCACCAACCATCGTGCCGGGTATCCGACCCACTCTTCTTCGGCTACGAAATAAGTTGCATGTCGAGACGGGATATATCTAGTTACGTGAAAAGGTAATTTCTGGCGGGATGTGTCAGGGATTGGAAACGCCTCCACGGGTTTTATACCACGGCAGAGAAAGGAAACAAATAAACAAAAAAAAAACATAACAAGGTGTGCGGATTTCATATGCAACTGGTGAAATATAACACAGCTGGTTTCTGACCTGTACCTTCCCTACTAGCCTGGCTGACAATATCGTTGTCATCCATTGCGCAATTCCGAATGTCCAGGCCCAGGCGCTTCAAGGTTTATACAGGACATGCTCTGATAGTGCTGCTAATTACCTAGATAGAGAAGCCTTTTTATTTATCTCTGTTAATTGCTGCGGGTAGACATATATGGAGAGTGTCATATCAAAGCGCGCGGTAGACAGGGGATCTCTTTGCCAATTCATCAATAATGTTGGCTGCAATATATCAACATAGAAGGGAGAGAAAACTCTAGTTTCAATATATAACGTGACAACTTGCTTGATTGAAATAGGCGGACACGTAATCCTATTATTGATATGCTATTCACAGACCTAGAAGAAACAATTGACGTATCGAATTGTACTACGCTTAAATCTCTCCTCTCGAGACTAATATGTCGGTACATACGTACGCAAATCCAGATATCTCCAGTATTCAATGGCGGTTATCTACTCCACTCCACCATCGCGATCTGTAGGCGAACATCCCCGCCAATCCCAGACTCATAATCCCGCCAAACCATCTACCAACCCCCCCACAGTTTCACTTCGAAAAACCTACAGAAGTATGTACTCACACCAGACTTCTACAAAATTCGTAAAACAGCCAAGGTCTATCGTTGGCCACGGCTAGCGGCAAAGGTTGCAGCGGGTGATATTTCATGAAGCAAGTCTACCCGACCAGAAACTCCTAACCGCCAATAAAAAGACCCATAGGTCTTGTTACCTCAAATGGGTCTCTGTTTTTTTTGCAGACGGGGAAAAAAGTTTGAAGGGGGGGCATACCATCATGACGTCCTGAAGTCACACGCCATTGAAAACTCGCGTGGAACCGCACCAGACGGGCAGAAATTCCAATTCAGTCTCACTTATAGATGAGCTAAAACACACGGCGCCTAAGCTCTAAGATTTTGTTGGATGAAGGTTGTGGTGGATCGGCCAGTAGTAATCTCCGTTCTGCGACGAATCACGGGAGTGGCCTTAATATAGAAATGTGAATATATGATATAAGTACGTCAAGTACGTATACGTCTAGTAGGCAAAACGAAGGCCTAACTTATATAAATGTATATAGCGGTACCATACCCTTGCCGAGGCGTTAATGGTGACGAGAAGTCGGCAGTGATTCGCAGGAACAAAAGAAAGACGGATCGAGAAGAAGGCTCTCTGGTTTATTAGGGCGTTGTGTATGAATTGTTGTCGGCTATTTTGCGGGGCTGGTGTGAATTCCAAGTTGTCCCTTTACATCCGCTAGCTACTACAAAGCAATCAATAGTCCTAATTCTACAGAAAAGGCATCGCAATCAGCGAAAATTTTCTCGAGTGTATCACAGGCCGGTCAGGTGGATAGCAGGTATATAAAGTACATGTATGACCCGAGAGCTAACTAAGGAAAAAAGAATTTAGTAAAATCAGATTAAGCTAAAGTAAAGTATCTTTCAAAGCCAAAAACTGATGCACTAGGCCTAGATGTTTCTAAATGACTTCCCCGGACAGGCTTGAACTGTCAACCTCTCGATTGCAATAAACCCCATAAATGGGATAAGTAACAGTCGAACGCGCTAGCCAATTGCGCCACGGAGAACTGTTTGTTGGAGGTTCTTTACTATAGAATAAGGCAAATCTATACTAACCATAAACTGCTAAAGCTTCTCGAGTGATATCTCATGCGGAAAAGAATATACGCCTTAGAAGGAAAAGTCCACGATTACTATTCTCATCCATTCTTGGAAACTCCCATGGTAGCACAGTCTTCACTTTCACCGCTTTTTTCCGGCTGCACCTCCCTGATCTGTAACCTCACATGAATTAAACAAAAAGAAAATCTGTAACGTCACACTCCATCACTCGCCCTCACCAGGACGTTGCATTAAATCCCGGAACCCTCCCTAGTCGCCAATTCGCCCAGTGTCGCATATTCAGATAATTCCTCCGAAAGTTGAAACGTGGGGGACAATAATTCGTGATTTTATGCTGGTGTGATAAGCAGTTTGATGTGTGCACATGGTGATACTGGATCGGAAGAGAGAGCGGGGTCGATGGTATGTTATTATCGATAGTCTACTAATGTACTAAATCGTTACCTCGAACTTTGGTCGGGTGTTTTACTAATAAGCCATACGCTGAGAGTAGTAGTAATATATGTATAGGAGCTCGAGAGTGGCTAGTAGGTCATGGTGTACGTCGTGGTTGATTGTGATTGTATGGTTAGGTGTCTCCCTAGCTCACTTTGCCCTCTCTCCCTTAAGTAATACTTCCGGTGCACTAAGGGATTGTATGGGTGGGTGTAGTCTGGGGTAGATAGCTCCTCTTGCATGAACACCTCTACTGAGTGGATTGAGTTCCCATGACCATCAGCAAGTACGCCATGGGTTCAATCCCGGGGGCCAGGGGTGGGAGTGTCTGTGGGGAAAATGTAGTCCAATATATTGCAGTGCCGTATCCGGCCGATAACCCCACGAGGGGTATACGGCCACAGCATCATCTTTTTGGGTTTTTGGAGCTTATCGGATGGGCCAGAAGGCCTCGTGGGGTATGCGTAATATCGATCAGGGCTCTCTCTGATCATGACCGGCCTATAATTGCTCGATATTTGGCCAATTGGTCTCTCCCCCCATGGTCAGGGACGGGTGTAGGATTAGGCTGGTTTAGCGAAACGTAACTCCTCCGGACTATATTAGTATAGTAAATGTACATGTAGTCTCGCAGTACCTATCCCTTACAGGCAGACCGCTCATCACCGTAGAGTCCGGAGCATTGGGAAATAATGCTGACACCCTCAGCTAGCTTCGTTTCCGAGTCCAAACTTCCCTGAATTTTGATATCGGGCTCGAATTAAACATTAGCTATAACCTTTATTTTAGAGTCCAAAATCCCATGATAAGTTTGATTTTTATGTCGGTGTCTATTTATATAATTTTGTATGTAAATTGGGCTCCGGAGAGATTACCGATGCGACATCGGAGAGCTCTCAATTAATATTCATGGAAAAGGACCTCACCAAACGCCAAAAGGACAATGCTCTAGCTTCCCCGTTAGCTGGGCTGGGTGCAAGCCTACAGTAGCACATATGCGCAGTGAACAATGAGCAGTTCAATATTTTAACCTTATATGGGGTCGAGAATGGTTAGTTTGTTTACAGGAAAAATGCCTGCACGTATCTACCAAGTAGATTGAAGTTATGACAGGTGGCGTCATATATTCTCGCCCAGGATCCAGGACATCATAAACTACAACCACATCATCTCACTGTCTAAGGGGTTGAACCTCTAAGGCCCCTATTCCCTCATTTTCTAGCACATGGCCAACCGATAGTTACGTCTTTCTATTCCCCCTCTAACTTAAGTTTACTTGAGTTTGAGTCGGTCTAGTTATAACTGTCGAAAGGTGATATCATCTCTCATCGACTCTGGATATTCGATTTATAGGAAAATACAGTAGCTACTACGCTGGTATTGAGAAATCTTACTTTATAGTTATTAACTGTGTTATTGTCTCTCTCTCACGTAGGTGCATACATATTCTGGGTAATGGTTTAATGCTAATCCGTACCACATGCCAGACACATACAGAATTGCACAAACTGTTTCTTGCATGCAGCTAGCCTGCACGCATAACGAATAAGCTCACCGCCAAGCCGATATATGCACCCAAGGGCACGGATCCCAGAGCCCCACCCCACGTCAACCTCAAGAAACCCAGGTGCTCTATCAAATACAGACCAAAATTACCATGGTGTTCCCCACAATCCACATATCATGTCCCTGCGCCGATTCGATCTCTATCACCCCCAAGCCTGCCAAAAAGAAATCCCGACCCCACAAAGTGGCGGAAGAAGAAGAGGAGGAAGAGGAGGAACGGTTTGACCCCAGATCAGCCAGGAGCAACTTCAGTCTATTCCCACTCGAAAGCTTGCTTTATTGCGAGGATTGCAACCAGATACGGTGCCCCAGATGTGTGCATGATGAGATTGTCTGCTACTTTTGTCCGAGTTGTCTCTTCGAGGTCCCCAGCTCCGCCATCAAGTCCGATGGGAACCGGTATGCACCCCTCCGACTGATCATCTCTCCCATAGATCTGGGTCACGCTCACTCGGACACACAGCTGTACCCGTAACTGCTTCTCCTGCCCCATCTGTTTTGCCTCTCTCGTTGTCGCCTCTACCCGCGACGACCAAAGCGGCCCATACGTTCTGCTCTGCCCCCACTGCCACTGGAGCTCCTCCGAGATTGGCATTGAGTTCGAAAAACCTACCTCAATCACTACACAGCTTGCACAGAAGCTCAAAACTGTCTCTACGCCATCAGTAACCCCTGCGCCATCAGCGCCATCGGACTCCTACTTTCCTACCATCAGCATCACGCCTACGATATCCCTCCCCCCCAACGATGCGCCTCGCGCGCCCCCGACAACAGCAGAGATGTACCAGCGCCTCAAACTCCATTACGCCTCTCAGCGTGCCTCTACCGGCACAGACGAATTTGGCTCCTCAAATGCTCTTTCGCGGCTGATAGGGCTATACTCTTCCACCTCTCTCACCGTCGGGGGCCCAAAACCCCGCTCATTCAGCGGCGGGTCTGGAATCTCGAAGCCACTGATCGGACGAGACCGCAAATCTGAGTGGAGCGAAATGGATCACACGCTCGAGATCCAGAACGAGGATGCCACAATCGCGCAACTACGTAACCAAGGCTTTGCCGGTACCACCAGCACCGCGCAGCGACTCAACCAAGGCTTCCCCGGCCCGCTATTCACGCAGGACGTCCGCCCGCTTGCGGTACTTCTACGGACGAAGCGCTCTAAGCGCTGTAGAGCTTGTCGTCATATTCTCGTTAAACCAGAGAGCAAAGTCACCACCACGCGATTCCGCATAAAGCTCGTGGCAATGAACTATATTCCATCCCTGTCTATCTCGCGACTTGATCCAGGGAGTGTGAACTACAACTCTCTGACACCGCTAACGACGCACCTGTTCTTACTCACAGTGACGAACCCATTGTTTGACGCGATTAATGTGACACTTGCAACACCACAGCGGACTCCGGGGCGCTTCGGCACCACCGTGACAATTCTCTGCCCAGACTTTGAGGTCGGCGCCAACAGTGACATATGGGATGAAGCGCTCGGGACCGGTGATGCCGCCACAGGTGGAAAGAACACACGCAAGGGCAAGAAGACTGGCAATACCGGGACTGTCTGGGACGCAGGCCGCAATTGGACCACCGTCGTGATCGAGATAGTGCCCCCCCTGCTACCGAGCGAGTATACGACCGATGAGGCCGGAGGCAAGGACTCACCGACCGAGGACGACTACCTGGTGCAGGTGCCCGTTTCGGTCAGGGTTGAGTATGAGACTGACGTAGAGCGCGAGGGCAGCCTCGGAAAGGAGATCAAGGAGCGTAGGGAGCATACGTACTGGAGTGTGCTGGGGCTTGGTAGGATTGGCAAGTTTGGAGCGCCAACAACGCCGCTGGCAGTAGGGGCTGGTGGACCGGTAGATGTATTGGGCGCGCTGGGGCCAAGTGGCGTGGGGCTAGGCAGGTCGAGTACTTATAACGTTGCGAAAGTTGGGAGCTCGCCGCCGATTGTAGCCGGGATGGTGGGGATGGGTGTTGCGGGTGGACTAGGCAAGAGAAATTTAAAGTAATAACGGGATTAGGAGGAAGTAGATACTTATTTTAGTCTTCATGTTTTCTTGGTGTTATGTTTTGTTTGTGTTGCTGTTTGGAGTCTAGTTACTATTCTCAGGAGAGGTTTTTCAACGACCGTGGGCTTGCGCTCAATGAGCTTTAAAGTCTATATTTGTAGGCTTCAAAAAGTTTATTGTGATGTTATTAATGGGATATCATTAAATGTGTCATCGATTGCATTCAATTTTTTGCGTTTCGGTGATCCGATATCCCACAGACCAAGCATAGGGGTTGAGGTGGTAAATGAATCTCGAGACAGTAGATCATGCTCTATATTCTCACAAAATCATTCCTCCGCGGCCGGTGTAGGTGTGTAGACCCTGTTGGCACCGGCAAGACGTGCCGAGTGATATTATGTGACGCTTAATAACTGGGGATTGGAGAAGAGATAGGCTTGAGGTTATCGTGCAATTTAATCTCTTGTACTGAAAGATGAAATGGTTGATTTTTTTCCCTCTGTTGATAGGCACTGTGTGGCTGTTATCTGCCCGCCCCCTCCGCGACGGGGTCGTGGGGGCTTTTCTCCCAGTACCGTAGTTATCCCCTAAGAACAGAACCTTACAATACTGGTTACGTTCACTTCAGGCTTCGTCGACTGATAGGCCAATTTAGGACTCGGCCCGCCTAGCGCTCTTAGGGCTTGGGCTAGGACCATAAATCTACTTCTATAGATCTATATAACCACACACTTCGTTTAACCCTAATCTTCAATCTAGTCGCCCTAAAAGTCCTGTATATTTTATAGCTACTAGGTATAGTATAGGCCTAACTATGCGCTTGCCGAATGTAGTGGATCTGATGGAGACTTTGTGGTGGCGCGCTTAGAAATTGGCGCTTGAATACAAGCGAGTGATAATTCATGACAATAGCCTAACGCAACAATAACTAACAAAGC